ATCAAGTACAGATTTGATAACATAACATAAAAGGGAGTCATAATGTGGAAGCCAAAAATCCTTCCAAAACTTAACCTTTGTACCATTACCAACCTACCACGCAACACCTTTAATAATATCATCCCAAGCTTCGTAAATACCTTTTCAGGTAGTAGAACAACTTTTTTTAGCCTTCACAATTGGTATAATATCATTGCCACATTTGTATTTTTCTCTTATAAACTTTACTCAAAGAGTATCTCTCCTATTTATCAATCCCCACTCAAGTTTCATCATGAAAGCTTTATTTTGAGGTGTGCCTCTCATAACCCAAGACCACCATCTCTCTTACTTTGACAAATGTAACATCCTGATTTTTATATAATAAAGAAATTGTGGAATTTAGGTTTTGAAAAAAAAATGATAATAATAGGAATTTATATTATTTGAGGTTATTTAGAAATAATATTATGATTAGGTATTTAATTATGAATTTAAAAATTTAAATTTAAAACCACATAAGCAATATTTAGTTAAGATATAATACATAAATAATTTTTATGTGTGTGTTAAAAAAAACAGAGAGGGTAGAAGGAACAAAAAAAAGGGGGGGTGGAAGGTTGTTGTTTCTAAGTCCCACATTGGTTAGATGAGGGAAGAGAAGAGGTGCCTTCATGTATAAAAAAGAGGGGGTGTGTGCATTAGGAAGCATGAGAGGCTAAGATGCAATTTAGAGAAAATTGCAACTTTTGGCCCAAAGGTTTGAATAATTAAATTCGAACCTATAGTTTTTTTTAATATAATTTTGGGACCACAATCCCATTTTTATATTCTTTTTCTCTCTTCCTGGCGTTTTTCTCGCAAGGGGGATTATTTTCTTTTTCTTCATGTATGTTCTAACTTTCCTGTTTAGATTAGCATTTAAAAATTTATTTAATTACAAAATTAATTTTATATTTATTTTCTAAATAATATTAGCTTTCTAGTGATATGATTATTTTGTAGGATAGAGTAAATATTCTGATTAGGATTTTTCTATAGGATAGTTAATCTGATGATATGATGGAGTAAAAATATAGGTTAAAACTCTTGGGGATATAATAAATATTATAGAATATTTTTCTTGAGGTTGAAACTCATGTTTAAGAATTTTTGAGTTAAAACCTAGATCTATATGGTTGAATTTATGTGGAATATGAGATATAGGGATAAACCTCTGATTATTAAATATTTATTTAAGTATGAATAGGTATTTTTGAGGTTATAGAAAGGTGATTTGAGATTTCAGGATAATTTTAAAATTTTTAATTTATTTTTGGACGTATTTTTAGAATATAGAAGGATGAAATTGTGATACTAGAAGTGATTTGAGGATAAAAAAAATAGTTTATTAGGGTACGAGAATTTTAAAAAAGAATTTGGGAAGTTAAATGAGGCATAAATCGTAAATTAGTATTAATATGGATTATAGATCTAAGACTTTCTAATTCTTTAAATTAGAGTTATTTATTTTAATGTAAAATTAATATATAGTATTGTGAAATAATTATGTAGATTATATTGACAAAGATAGTGGTGAAAAAGGAGTTGTGAAGGGGAACTTGTTATTCAAGAAACAAGGTAACCATTATTAATGTGTTGTGATGGGTGTGTTTGTGAATGGTTATGTGTTGTTTTGTTGTTTGGAAAAATTATGAATTATTGAAAATAAATACTGTATATACTTGTTTGAAATTATTGCCAAGTGGGTTAAAAATTTATTTTTGTTTATCATGATGAGATATTATTGTTCGGATATATTCCTGTTTGGATATTTGAATGATGCATGACTTGTCAGGGTATTTTAATGTATGGTGTTAATGGGAATTTCTGTTCGGTTAATTATTACCACGTGGTAAGCCCTCATTGGACCCAATGAGTGGCGTGTCGCTTGATCCAACTCACCTTTGGCCGGGTGATTTGGCATCCGAGCATGGTGAAAGGAGGATATAAGGTGCAGTCATGCAATTAAATACTTGTTCGGTTTGTTTGAAAATATTGTTCGGTTAAATGTTTTGTGTGCCCACTTAGCAATCGCATGATTAGTTACATCCGCATGCATCATTACATATTAATTTTTGGTTACTGGGACTTTTAAGTCTCATTCCCCGTGGTTAATATTTTTACAGGAGCAAGTCCGGTCGAGAAAGCACCAGAGGTGTAATTATGGTGTATGAGACACCATCTTTTACGTTGCCTCTTATTTTGAATTATACAATGTATCTTGTGCCAACTTAGGACATATCTTCTTTGTGGAGCATGTAAACTCTAATCCTTTTTAATAAATGCATTTATATGTTCAAGAGGAGTATGTCTGTCCCTTTTAATTTATGACCTGATTTGAATAACATGCTATGAGGATCATGTCTGTCCCTTATGGTTCTAATTGCTTTTTGAGATTTTTTAAGACCTGTGGTTTATTGTCTTGGATGTATCATGGTAGAAATTTTTCTACCATGATAAGGGTATGATAAGGGTTCAATGAAAAAAAAATGAGTTGTTAAATTAATAATTTGCGAAAAATCAGTTTGTAAATTTGAGGGTGTTACAACAAACATCTTCCCAAGCCACAAGATGCATTTTCCTAGTTGAATTAGTATCCCCCTAAATGAAACAATGATATCTTCTATCAATTTCCTTACACATATGTATCAGTAGAAGAGTCAACTTCATCGTATAATTCGGTATAGCTACAACCACAAAAGAAACCAAAGTGTGTCTACCTGCCATGGACAAGGTGTTAACCTTCCAAGATGGTAAACAACTATCCATCTTGTTTAAAATGTGTTGATAAGCTTCCTTCCCAACTCGTTTGAGATGCAAAGGTACACCCAAATACATACACACAGACAAGTACAACATACTTTACAAAGTTTGTCACTCATTTAATGTTTATAATAACCTTATAATTATAAATAAAAAATTACTACAAAGTTAAAATAAAAGGTGCTATTAAATATTGCTTTAGAATTCTAAAAATATTTTATAATTAAAAAATATTTTTCTTTTTATACAAAAAATAATTTTTCATTTTGAAGGACAAATATAACAAAATGGAGTGCTACGAAACAAATGATGGATATCACCCATACCTCTGCTCATACTTTAGATTTTAGAACACAAAACAATATTATTGATTTTATATAATATTTATTTTATGCTTATAATAATTATTTAATATTTTTTATTTTTAAATTAAAAATGCAACTACTATCTTTTATTTTTATTTTTATTTTTTTGCATTAGTTTAGCCGCCTAATGATTCTCTTGAACTTCTCAATCTTTTTTAAATGAAATGGCTTCTTTATATGCGTGTCTGTGGTTTTTTTTTTTTTTTGGGTGTATTAAAATGACTAGCCTGACAATTTTAATTGTTAACCAAGCAAGCGTTTTATTATTTAAACTTTTGGCCAAAGAGAAGGGCATTAAAACTTGTTTTAAGTGTATATGATGACTAGATCAATGACCTCATGCAAATATTTGGGCAGTGCTTCTCTTCATGGAGAGAACACCACACACATGGATCGTTGGATTAAAGTTGATGATTAAGATTTTTATTTTATTAAAAGTTGACCTAAACAACTCAGAACTATGTAGGGAAGACACAGTTGAGAAAAACCAATCCCCATCATTCGATCTGGACAACCAATTCATTTTTATCTCTACCCTTTTTTCTGCCATCAATTTCAAATCCTTTCATAATGTCAAGGTCAAGAGTTATTTTGTGTAAATATTCCCTCATGCTCATTGAAAAAATTAATGCCTAAAAAATAATCGAATGCGTGTTAAGAGTATTTTCTCATATATCAAGTAACAAACATTGTTCACAGGGAGTAAATAATAATGTAATTCAATTTGAACTCTGCTCAAAAATTGCAGAAAATCCACCCCAATTATGGTTTGCTCCTCCGAGTCTTATAAATCACTACTTACATATTTTATAGAAATTGAAAAATTTTAAAACTTATTAATTCTCTTTAAAAATTTAATACTCACTCTGTTTTTAAATATGAGCAAATTTTAACCAACTCATAGTTTAACAAAGATGGCTAATCTTAATAACAAATATTTCATTTGTTAAAAAATATAAGTATTTTTTGAGAAGTTAGATATTCGATATTTTTTAAGGAGTTAAATATTCAAAAATATAAAACATTTTTAACTTTTTAAGATGTAATCATTTTTTTTTCAAAAATACCCTATTAATAAATGACTTTATATTTATTATAAAGTATTTAATAAGAATAAATATAAAAAAATAAAGTAAATTTAAAAACAGATAACTATTTTATTAGAGTAAAATTTATTAAAAAGTCTCATATTTTTAAACAGAAAAAAGTATGTGTAAAATTAAAATATTTAGACTAAAATACTCCTATAATTAATCTTTCCTTCTGCTCTAATGCAATAATACCATTTTTTTAATGAATGATGATTAATAAAAAATGTTTTAAATATTTCTGGAAAATTATCATTTTGTTTATAAGAAAAACACATAGGAAAGTTTCACTTATGTTCAAAATTGAAGGGAGCAAGTGTTCTATTTTCCTCCTATTTTATATACACATTTTAACAACATAATTTTTCTCACCAACATGTAATAAAAAATAAAAAGAAAAATTTGTAATATAAGTTTAATGTCATTCCTTATAAATTGAATTAAAAAAATTCTTCTCTTGAAGGGAGTATGGGGCAAATTATAGACATCTAATACAACATTGCCACATCATGCACGCTTCCATATATAAAATTCAAAATGAGATCCATTGAACAAGCTGCTTCAATAAACTTGAACTTCGGATTTGCCTGACCATGATGAAAATTGGAAACTCAGTAGATAAGCCCAGCTCATCACCCAAATGCTTGGATTCGCATCATCCCACCCACGTGAATTACAGCCAGCATGCCGCAGCGCACCGACACGTTGTATGCAGTATATAAATCACTATTTTCTCGGTCTGTTCTGAGTATCTCTTCTCGCATGATAAAATATCATAATCGTCATTCCACATGAAAGCAAAAGTGATTATTACAGCAGTAGCTTTGTCAAAGTTTATCCACAACTCGTATGAGTATCTTAATTGTATTACAAAAGAGGTATGTCTATATTTCTGTCGAGGTCACCAGGTTTTGTAGGTTATTAAGTAATCCCCTGGGCGCTATATTGATTCCAGTAGAGTCAGTAAAACATCGTATATCTGGTCTTCTTAACCCCCTCGTACTCCCTCTCCGGCCTACGTTTCTGTCAAAACACAGACGATGTAAAATGTAGACAATGCAAGAAAAAAAGAAACATCAACAAGAGTACTCACCGATCTGTTGCTAACCCATTTAACTCCCGATTAGCAACCAAGTCTAATTTCAAAACGTAACTCAAGAAGCTACCTATTGAAAGGGCAAAGAGATATCGGCTCTACCGTTTGTTCCTCCGTTGGCCTACAGTACCAATTTGAATCCCTCGGACAGGAAGGCATCCCTATGAAATGAAAAGCAACAATTAAGCAAAGCAAGTAGTGTTTCAGGTGGTTTTTTTTTTTTTTTAATTGAAAACTCAAACTGGCCCCACTAATATAGAGTGGCAGAAGATTTATACTTGGATGGAGATCATACTACATTGACTCCAAGTCAACAAAAGTCATTCAAAGACCAAAGACAAAAAAGTAAGAAGATTTATACTTGGATGGAGATCCTACCACATTGACTCCAAGTCAACAGAAGTCATCCAAAGAACAAAGACAAAAATGTAACATCTGACAGCTGCCTCTTTTTTAAATTTTCCGATAAATCATGTTATTCTATTTTACGAAGGATTCAGTGTCCATCATGACTTGTTTAGGCCTAAGTCCAGGTCGAGGTCAACTCACAAGCAGTCACACTAAATACACGTACACATAAGCTTATGAATGGAGTCAATAGTCAGTGATCATTGACAAAAGAGATATACACCAGGCGGACTTTAAATTACAAAAATTTCACTCGGTACCTTTCTTTCTTTGCCTCCAACTCTTGCTGCTGCTTATCAATTTTACTTTCTAGAGCTGGTGGCACAAGAGTTCCGACACAAATTGTTCCATCAATCAACGAGGGCATTCTAGGGATTTGGATAAAAATGATTACTTTATTTTTCAAGTCATACCAACAGAGCTTCCTTTCGTCCAGTTCCAAGAAAACCTTGTTTCCATCACTTGAGTATGTTAAGGGCCTCACAGATTTTAAAGATCCCAACTCAGGGGATTGTGTCAATGTGAACAAGTTACACCATGACTCTCTGTGTCCATATTCTTTCATCACCCAAATATCCACTCGCGTATTTTGGTCATTTGCAAGCATGCATAGGGATCGCCCCAATAAAGCCACATCCATTTGAAAATTCTGATTTCCCAATTCAGGCAGAGGCACCTCCCTAAAATTTTCGTATTTCAGATCAAACGCAATGATCAGATCGGGCGCATCGGGTTCGAGCTTCCGAGTGACGACCCAGTGTAAAGCCCCGCCAACAAACACACCCATCGTGCGCGCACAACAGAGGGCGTAAGGCATACGCTGAATTGTTTTCCAACAATTTGTTCTCAGGCTATAAATCTTGACTTGAGAATCGAAAGTACGACTGTGTAAGTCAATAAAATATGAAATCCTGAGCAGTTTATAATCATCGGAGAAGGAATCATACCCAAACCCATAAACTCTGGCGGCGAATAAGCTGGCATCGGATTCAGGTCGTCGCTCCACCGGCAGCAAAGGGAGAATCCTATGTTTTCGAATAGAGGGGTTCCATAAAGCAATATCCTCGGCGACGTTGCAGATACAGAGCAATCCGTTGCAAGAACCTAAAACCTTGATGCGGTTACCATAACACATGATAGGGTGGACGACCTCAACGGCCTCATCGAGGGTATCGAAATTGACGGCATAAAGATCGGAGTTCTGTCTGAAAATGACGAGGCTATTGGAGCTAGTTTCGAGTGACTTGTGGAGATGGGAGAAGATGAAGTCGCGGGCATCAATCAGGGAACGCCATGACCTGCAGGTACAGCGGAAGCGGAGGAGGGACCTGACGGGCAAACGAGTGAGAATATCGACGATGACTTCTAGCGGAAGATCCGCCATGGATCGATTGGGGAGGAGGCAGCCGACCGCAACACCGCATCTAAGGGACGTCTACAGTCTCGGGAACATTTGGGAATTTAGGGTTTCCGACTTCAGAGTGCGCGGTATCTAGGAGTGAAGTTATGATGGATTGGAAACAGAAAGTTACTGAGCGGTGGAGTAGTTGTGACGCTAGCGCGTTAGGTAGATTTGTGGTTCATAATTGCCAGCTGCTTGGGCGCGTGCACGCGCACCATAAGATTTAGGGCAAATTACGTTTGTGTCCGGTTAAACAGACTTGTCCATAAACAAATACCATATCTCCTGTTTAAAAATATAAAATATTTTTAATTTTATTTTATTTTTTAATAAAATATTTATTTATTTTTAAAATAATTTCATATTTTTATATTTATTTTTATTAAACACCCTATAATAAATATAAATTATTAATAAATATAAATATTTTTAAAAAAATAATAATTATATTTTAAAAAATTAAAAATTTATTACATTTTTAATATCAAATTTTTTAAAAATGCCTTACATTTTTAAATAGAGAGAGTAAAATTTAAAAATAAGAATTAGATCTTTTAACACTTCAATATAATTTAAAATTAGAATACAAGAATAATAATACTTATATTAAAGGCATGTTATAGCAATCAAATAATTTAAAATTATTACTTCAACTTTGTAGAATTGAACTTTACATATCTGATAGTTAAATTAATTATGCGTTATAAGTTTAGTACTAATTACATATAATTATTTTATTAATAATTTATAATTATTACTTTAATATTTTACAACTATAATTCTATAACTTTATGTTACAAACAACATTTAGCATTGACTATTTACAACTATCTCATCAATAATTTATAATATTATCACTTCACTATTTTATAAGTATAAATTTATATATATAATAATTAAACCAAATAAGGAAGGACGGCATTATATTTGTACCATAATTTTAAAGTATACTTCAATCCCAAAAGATTTTGTTATGGTTTGTAAATTTTATGAAATTTATTTGTAAATAAATTTATTTAATGAGATTTAAATTTAATTTTCTATAGAATTTAACACCCGCCTGCTTTTTTTGTTTAAAAAAAAAAACAGTTGTTGAAGTCGTGAGAGATCAGATAATTGAAGACTTCACATTATTAAAATATCATGATCATAATTTTTATTCATAATTAAAATATGTTACTTATGAATATATAGGACATTACTTGTAAGTGGATATAAATAGTTTTAACTATAAATTTAATAATTTATGGACTCTCTCATGTTTCAAATCAGAGAAAGCCAGGTATAGGTTATGTAGAGTAAACTTATTTACAAATAAATCTCACAAAATTTATGAATCACAGCTAAATCTCTTCAGATCTAAATGTAATTTTAAATTATGATGCAAAGACAATAATATTTTTACTTGTAATGTATAATCAACTTAACTATTGGATATATAAAAATATAATTGTAAAAAGTTAAAATTATAGTTATAAATTATTGATGAAATAATTATAAACAATTAGTGTCAAATTTTTTTGATAACACATGATCGGTTTAATTTTAAATATGCAATGTCACGGTTATAAAATATTGAAGTGATAGATGTAAGTTGCTGATAAAGTAATTTCTTGATTGATATAATGTATTTTTTTAAAAGAGCATTATTATTTTTGTACTCCAAATTTAAATTACAGTCAAGTTTTAAGTTTTGGTAATTTTTAAATTTTAATGAAGACTTATTTATAAATAAATCTATCCCACTAAGCCTATACATAATTTTTCATTTCAAGTATTCATTCACAAGTGACTTTTCACAGATTTACAAGTAATTTTCTTAAAATCAACATGTAGTCTATCTTAAATAGTTAAATTCATGACCAAATATTCTTCTTAAACTCATGAATGGTTTTTTATTATTTATTTCAATAATTAAAAATATTTTAACTACAGGTAAAGATATGGTCCTTCTCTCTCTGTTTTTGGTTTTTTTTTTTTTTTTGATAAAAGACATGGCCCTTCTCAAGCATCTCAGTATTTTTAGATTTTCAATTATTATTAATATTTTTATAAGATTCATAATCATCACTTTTATTTTTTTCTTCCTATCATGCTCAACCATAATATGATGTGTTAGTAGAGTGTTTGTTCTAACAGCAGCGCCAACTTTCTCATTTGAAAGAGCTTTTCAATTTGAATTCAGCATTAATATGTTTACGTTTGTGGTACCTGTTCTTTAAAGAAATTAGTCAGGTTATTCATAATATAAAAATTAACAAAAAAATGCAATATCATGTATTCGAGTGAAAATAATTTTTTGTATATATAATAAAAATATAAAAATGCCCGATCAATTGTGGATGGAAATCATTTTGGATGTGTTGTTTCCATTGAGGCAAAGGAAGTTGCATTAATTATTTAAATGAAATTTAATTAAAACGGTGTGTTGATGTTTAATTAAAACGGTGTGTAAAATGAAGAAATGACAGCCCATGTATGTGCGGTGGATTTTGCAGGGAGGTGGACATCACGTGACCGGTGATGGGAAATGCAAAGATAGCGGGAAGGAACTTCTCGAAATCCACAAAAGTACGTGGCCTAGGGAAAATAAATAAGCACCCAAATCTTACATGTTGCAATTTCCAAAATCCTCCCGATATTCAAAAAATATAACAAATGTTTAATAAAATTTTGTTTTAAATAAAATAATTATTTATTTCATATTTATCTTATTTTTTATATTTATATTTATTTAATAAGATACGTCATCTTTAAATAAATATGAATAATTTATTTAATAAAAGTACGTTTAAAAAAGATAATAATTATATTTTAATCTTTTAAAAAAATATTTTATATTTTTTAATGAAAAAAATAGTTATCAATCCTTACTGCAAGTTTGGTATGTCTCCCGGGCAGCACAAGTACGGTACATAGCATTATTATCATTAAAAAACATACAAAACATGAAACCATGATGAGAATAAATCATTGCATCGTATAAAATATACAATTTTATCTCAGAATTTGTGCGTATATAAAATAAATTATGCAGAGTATTATTTCAAGTACACATGAGCAAGAAAGGGTCAAAAAGATGGGAGGACGATCCTCGCAGATACATTGCACTAGTAGTAGCATTATCTCTAGGCGCAAGATACATGTGAAGTATGAATCACAAGGAAGTGGAAAGATCCACGTGAAGTTGATTCAATTTGGCTTATTACAAGTTCAAAAGTTGGTCCCAAAAAAAAAAAAAAGGATTAAAAGTTCAACTACCGCATCTTGAAAAGAGAGCATAGAAGCAGAGCATGTGTTGTTGACCAACGAAGCAGCGAAGACGACGAACAGAAGATCCTTCACTAACCTCTCTTGCTTCTTCCACTGCCATCAATGCACTCGACTCTAAAGAATCGGCATTGCCTAATCGTGGGAAGTCTCGTTTCCTTCTCAAACGATGCAATGTAAAATTTTGCCCTTCGATCAGAGCATAAGTTCTCCAGATCCTCAAAAGGTCTTTTTCTACTCAATCATATACAAGTATTATCTGGCTCAATGGGGGAATAGTTATTTCGAAGATAATTTTTCATTCACGTGAATTTGAATTTAAGAGCTCATACTCAAGCAATCATGACACTTTTCAACGCTCGTTGGTCACTAGAACCAATGCCAGCTTGTTCGAAATTTTACTGTAACAATAATGTGAGTGTGTTTGGGCTGCACTTTTTACATGAACTTCGTAAGTTCCGTTCCTTGACGTTGCGTCCGAAAGGAACCAGCCATTTTTTGGGTAGGAGAGTGGAAAAGCCATGGTTGTACGGTGGTACCCTTGCACATTCTGGACTATCATCAGATACTATATGGACCAATTTTGGGCCTAGACAAGGCTTTGTAACGAGGCCCAATTCCAACTACCCTGTATTAGAATCTTCAACCAGATATACTTTATTTCATATGTTTTTGCCAGAAAATTATTTTATGATTATTGTACATTTTTACCCTTTAACATTTTTCATGTAACGTTAGACAGTCTAAACTAATAAATGAGATAATTTTTTTCTAAATCATTTTTTCAAGAGCCAAAAACCCCTCCTGTTAGTTAGCCAATAACTTTGTCTTTTTTTTTTTACTGATGTGACATATATAAGACCTATATTTAGTGATATTTAAGACTCTGACTATATTTTTTAATACTAATTCACTCTTAAATTCATTTTTTAAATGTTGGGTATCTTGAAACATTTTTTAGAAATTCTAAACACACTAAAGTCTTTTTAAAATGAAATTTAATACATATTTAATAATTTCAATATTATTATTTATAAATATTAATAGCTCAAACTAGTTTTTCAAAGATTTATTGATGACTTATAATTTTTTATTTATCAATCATATTTTATATGTTGATCATGTTCCTTAAATTTTTTATGTCCCTCTCTGTAATTTTTTTTATGAACTAATGATTTTTTTTTAAAATATTGCACAACCCAATTTAATATTTTAATATTTAATATTTTTTAACTTTGTATTAAAAATGAAGGGAATGAATTTACAAATTAATAAAGGCATTTCCTCCTACATCTCTCCATTATTCTCTTATAAAGTATTTTTTGGTAGTATATTAATTGGACTGGCGAAGCATTTTGTTGGCATGTTAGTTTTGATCTGTCATATTTTTTATTTTATCCATAATACTGTAGCATGTAAAGAGTATTAAATTTAAGTGATACAATATTTTAAAGGAAGATCCTTAGTTTAAAAAAATTACAAAAAATGACATACATATTTAAGAAATTTAATTAATATTAAAAATATAATTGATATATTAAAAGTTTCAATCTCTCTATAATTTTTTAATCATTAGTTTGAGCTGTTAATATTTAAAAAATAATTTATAAACTTTGGATGAATATTTATAAATAATATTCAAATTATAAAATATAAAAATAATTAATACTTTAAAAATATTTATTAAATTTTATTTTAACAATACTTTAGACGATTGATGCTTCTAAAAAAAGCTTTAAGATACCTAGTATATGCCACGTCATTAGAAAAAGATAAAATTAACTTTTGACTGTCAATATAGGGTGTTAAAAATTTAAGAGTAAAAATATATCTTAACCTATTAATTTATTAT